AACAGAAAAGAAAAACATAAGCAGAATTTAATCCGAGCCCACTGAATTTACAATGTTTCCTTAAGGAATTTAATCCCCTCCTAGTACCCAAGGTTATGGGTTATTTCCTTCCAGGATAGAACAAATTACACACTGGTGTAGTGGTACTTCAAACCCCAATGTTTCAGCGAACACAAAGTTCGGTAGCAAATCATACTTACTGTTGCTTTCTTTGAAGTTAAAACAATGCAGAAGAAAGAGGAGAAATTCAGAAATTCATATGGAAATTCTGAGCAGAATGGACTTGTATTTATATCCAATGTTGGGCTGAAATCTGAAGGTGCAACTCTTCAGAATGGTTGTTTATGCAAAACGGCCACAGCATAAATGCCATAACATAAATAGCTATTTACTCAACAATAAAGAGGGAAATAAAGAGGAAAAATTGAAGAGGGTAGTTTAATTTTCAGTTACACAACTGAAAAACGGAAAACTGATTGGATTTAATATGAATATTCTGTTATTAAAACGAATATTTAATAACATTTTTGTTAATATTTTACTATTAACAAATAAATTTGGTCCAAAAATTTAATCAATCAATTGACCGAAGCCGAAGCCAAGCGAGCGACGACGACGGCGCGAGGTGCCTTCTTCTCAACTCTTTAAGAGCTAGAAGAAGAGCAATTGCTTATATACCTATAAAAAACCTCTTCCTCTTCCAATATGGGACAATGTTCCTTCATCAAGGGGAAAAACTTAAAATTTTCATTTCCCTCCATTTCTCATTCACCCTCTTTTAAGCATTTAATATACTTAAAACCCCAAAAATTTCTTGTTGCCATTCATGTTCTTCTTGCTGTTACTACTGCTGGTAATCTGATTCCTTTTTGGCTATTGGTAGAGCTTGATATTTCTTCCTTGTTAGCATTATGTTATATCCTGCACAGGTTTATATGTTCTATAGGTGTTTTGACCTGTCCTCGTCACTACTCTACCAAAGTTAGGCTTGACACTTACTGAGTACCACCGTAGCGTACTAATGCTACGTTGCACATCTTTTGTGCAGAGCCAGGTTCTTTGGATGGAGTTGGTTTGAGATTTATGCTTGGTGAGGCTGGAGACTTCAAGGTACACCTGCTGGGCATTCGTAGGCTCCGAAGTCACCTTCCATTGTAATTTATTTCTATTGTTTCCTTTTATTTCGGAACAATGATGTATACATTATGTAAAATTACTCCTAGAAAGGCTTATGACTTGTGCTATCGGTTTTGGGATTTTAATGTGATGAGGTCTTGAAAACTAGCTATAATAGTGAAGACAATGTATTTTCCTTAGAAATATGTTGCATCTACCTGTTCAGTACTACTGTTTAGGCCAAAATTCGGTTATAGTAACGTCTTCCAATTATCATTCTTAAGTCCTAACTACTCTATATCTGCTAATAGTGTATATTGCTTTGTCTTAGTGGAGCATCCTACATGAAACCTGTATTGATGCTAAAACTTATTCTATTAACTATGTAATGCAACCAAAAAAAAAAACCCATACAGTCTTTAGAATTTCTATGTTCGTATGATAGAAATTCCCTCTAATTCTTTGGAAGTGCTTGCTTTCTGCATTGTTTCCTATATATAAATTTCGCAGTCTATTTGGCATTCAGTGAGAGGTCAATTTCACTGTACCATTGTTACAGCAAAATCCAAGCGGTTCATATTGAAACTTTTTTGCATAGCAGAATTTACAACGCGAAACTTTCTTTAATGGAACATAGTCAGACCGTAGCTGGCTAATATTAATCGTAGTTTTCTTATTCTTTACACGGCCTGCATATTGCGAACAATTCTAAGGGACAGAAATAGAAGAAACGTTAAATTGTAAATATTATCACCGAAGGGTGGTGGTCATACTAACTGTTAGTTGCAGCCGTTTCAAAGGTTGGAGAACATAATTTATTTGCGGCACCCGATGTTGAACCTAGTTCAAGATAGCTATTAATTTATGGCTGCACGTAAACAAATACAAAACAATTTAAATAGACACCATATTTTTTTGGGCCTACCTTTTTCAAAAACATGAAAAGGATATGATGAAGCATATCTTTCTCCTTGTCATATGCACCCAATGAAGAAAAACTTCCTCGCACAGTAGCTACATGGTAAGAATTAATGGTCATGATACATAGGGATAGCACATGTATAATCATTGTGTATGTATATACTAAAAAGCAAGAAAAGAAATAACAGATTTGATTTATTAGCCTGTTTCTGACGTTGGAAAAGCTACTCCAATATTAACATCATGTTGTATATGCGATATCGTTCCATCAAGATTCACATGATTTGCATTTGCGAAAAGCCGATTAGTTGTTGCCTGTCGGTATTTGAGGCAGCGTTGCAACAACTTTTCTTCTTTCTGAGTCATTGCTAAAGAGTTATCTATTTTACGGTGTTTGGTACTTTTATCATGAGCTTCATTTACTGAGTGAGAATTCTTTTTTGATTGTCGGTGATCCACTAATGTGCCTTTTCGCAAGTGCCGGTACTCCAGGCATCCTGCACGTCAATGTGAGACCTTGTAAATATATTGTTCCATCAAATAACAAGAGAAACTCATGAAGGAACAATTCAGAATATCTGCACAATGAATATCTCTGGAGTAACTCATGCAGCACAAAAATAGAATAAGATATCACGATACGAAGAAAAAAAGAGCGTAAATAGAGCCGTCGATATGGGCTTGGCCCGTTGGGCCAGCCCAGTCCAGCCCGTGATTTAGCAGGGTTGGCTAGAATATTTGGAGCCCGTTTAAAAACGAGGTTTTTAAGCCCGACCTGAGTAAGCCCGTGGCCCGTGAGACTTGACTGAGGCCGGGCCCGGCCAGCCCGTGGGCCTAATAAGATATTTATTTAAAATATATAAAAAAAATAAAAATTATACTGCCTTTAGAGATGGAAAGTCAGAATTGAACCAAAACTTGATCTTGAGAAGTTTCAAGAGATGGATGTTGTCATGTATTGGAAGGACCATTCTATAAAATATCCCGATCTTTCAATGGTGCGTGATGTACTTAGTATTCTTATTACCATTATTGCATCGGAATAAACATTTAGCATCGGTGGCGTGTTCTTACAAAGTACAGAAGTTGCATTTATTATGAAAATGTCCAAACACTTGTTACTACTCGAAATTGGCTGCACAAGTTTTCCCAAACTCAAACTGGTAATGTTTTTTTTTATGTGAATTTAAATATTATTAACTTTTAAAATTTAATTATTTTTAATATTTAACTAATTAATATTGCATACGAATTGTAGATGAAAGTGAAGATGTTAAGACAACCTTATCACAAGCAGATTCAAATATGTTTGATGAATATGATGTGTTGGATATCTCATAAGCATCATGAACGTTCTCTTGAATAGTTTGTTTTAAGTTTTGACTTTACTGAATGAAATATAGTCTCGTCTTTTACTTTTTTTAGTATTTATTGTGATATACTGGAACAATATAAAAAGTCTATTAAGTTTTGCGAATTTTTTCCAACAAGATATTTTTAACTTTTAAATAATTATCTTTTTTTAGGTTAGACTTAAAGAAAAAAAAATAAAATTATATTTTTAAAAATGATGGGCCGATCCGTGGGGGGGCGCGGCCCACATAGGGCTGGGTGGGCTGACCATTATAAGGCTTATCAAAATGGTGGGCTAGCCCAGCCCAATCCAGCCAGTCAATTGCTAAAGCCCACGTGGGTTGGGATGGGCTAGCCCGGCCCGGCTCATATTGACAGCTCTAAGCGTAAACTGAGACACCAACATATAAAAAGCCACCAAATTCAGAAAGATGGTCATCTAATTAACTACTCTAATCAACAGAAAACAATGTATAAAACTCAAATGAACAAAGCACCACAAATCAAAGTAGATTAGTCGTTTCTAGCTTTGCAAGAAAGTACTTAGAGGAGACTGAGTAAAAATAAAAATTAATTACTAGTTGTTCCTTTAATTTTGCACAGCTAAATAAAAATTCAAGTGTTCTGCTTCGTACACTCTTTTAAGAGTTCTATATGTCCTTTAGTGTTGGACACCTTCGAATTTTCTGTTCGCCAAGGTCAATTCCGTGCCGTACCCGAAAGGAAAAAATAGTAGACCAACTTCTTTACCGAGTTGAAACAATACTAATCCAGTAGAACTTGCCACGGTAAAAGGAACTTTAAAACAGAAAATCTAGGTATGTGCAAATAATAAATCCAATTTTGTTTTCACAACCACAGTAGAAAAAAGGAAAAGTTAACTAAATTCAGAAGTAAGCCAACCAAAACTATGCAAACGGCTCCGAAATCCCAGGTAAAGTCATCTCAGAATATATTCACATATGTGCTTGTTCAAAGAAACTTGATCAGAAGAATGAGAGCCTTGCGTAACTGGTAAAGGTACTGCAGCCATATGACCACGAGGTCACAGGGTGAAGCCGTGGAAAGAGGCTCTTACAGAAATGAAGGGTAAGGTTGCGTACAATTGATCTTTGTGGTCCGGCCCTTCCCCGGAACCCGCGCGCATAAGGGAGCTTAATACATCAGACTGCCTTTTTTTAAAACTTGATCATAAGAATTAGATGATAGAGAGAAGAAAACAAACCTTTTTGCCTCTTTCAATATACTTGACAGCAAAAAGCTCACCAATGATCCATTTATCTTTCACAAGTTTAGCAACACCAAAATTTCCAGAACCAATGTCTTTAACAATTTCATACCTTTCCATTTTTATATTTCAGCTTCAATACCTCAAATAACCATGCATGAGAAGGAAGAAAAAAACAAAAGGATGTCTGCTTAAACTTATGTGTGTGTATATATATATATATATATATATATATACCCAACGCTGTAATTTAGATGTCTGCTCATATGAACAAAATCAAGTTTAAATCTCTGGCAATTTAAAGAGTAAAGGATAACAATCAAGTAGCTTTTTTACAATAACTTCAAAATTATTGTCATATTGGAAAACAGGTAGCAACATATACGAAGTAAAACGAAACTTAACAAATATAACCCAATGATAGCCAATTCAACTATAACGATATAAAGTATCTTAAGCGAGAGTCTAGAATCCAGGTTACCAACAAATATGGTACATCAACTTATTCTACAGATTGTTTTCCTAGTATGTTTTCTAGTAATTTCCCCCATTTTTCTAAAAGACAACCTTATTATCGTTTTCATGTACATCTATTGCACTTCAAGATGTATTTCTTTCCCATCTCCAACATACAACCTTCAAAAAGAAGTACTAATATAAGAAGATGTCATCTCTGACAATTCAATGCCATATAACTCCAATAAATAGTAACTTCAGTAGGCAGCGACATGGATGAATAGATATAAACTATGTCGCTCGGACTTTTCAAAAAAGCCGAAGGGTGCATGTCGGATCCTCCAAATATAGTCTTTGGATGATCCGACATGGGTGCGGCAACAGATTTGGAGAGTCCGTGTAACATAAGATATAGAAGCTTAATGCTACTTAGGATGAAGGATATAAAAAAGATTTCGGACAATGCCCAACTTCTAGCCAATGTTGCAGAGCAAGTTTTTGAACCTTCCCATTCTTTGACAGTCCCCTTCCAGTTCGCTCATTCTATACGTGCTCCAGCCCACTACAAGACATCAATTTTTGGTTTTTCGACATTAAAAAATAACGTTGAACTCCCTCGGAGAGCTGCAAAACTCAAAGCCTTCCACCTACATATATCATATAACCACTTTAATAACTGGATAACATAATGGACAACTAAATTAAGATTCAATTATCAATCAGTAAGACCACAAGCAATAGCTCTTCAACCACAACACAATATTTAAGGTTTATTTTGGTCATGTAGTTCTTGTATTGAAACTCAACAGAAACAACATTGAATCAAAGAATTTAAGAGCATGTTGCTTGCATAAGAATCTTTAGATATTTTTCTGGTTTTCCTATAAGAAGTAAAAACTTTAAATGGACCAAAAAGAGGATTTAAAAAGTCTTAGTAATCTTTCAACACATTGGCGTGCTCAAGGCAAGACATGAGATGGAAAAAGACATAAATCAGCAATACCAGTCACGTATACATTAAGATGACCCAATAACCCAGAATAACAGCTACTCTTACTACTTCCACAACAACAATAAACTACAATACACTTTGACCAATTTCTAAAGTAGTTCTCAACAATATAAAGTGGCAGTGCATCTTTATTAACTTCTAGTGTAATTAGAATTAATCAATCAATAGAGAATTCAAAAACTACACTTTGGAAACTGATAATGGAAGTCAGTTAAAAATCTCCATACATGCAACTTTGTTCATATATAACTACAATTGTAAGAAAATATATGCAAACTCGTACAACTAAATCTCATTAAATTCCTTTTGTCACAAACGTGTTTGCAGCTGTAAGATGTCATAGTATGGATAAAGTACCAACTGCCTTGAATCTTAATAAGAAGGCTATTACATTCATCTTCCACAAATTCTTGTTTCCTCGGCTCCTGTATAGCTGTCTAGTATAGCTTCACTTAATTTACTGGTTGTTCATGGATCATACCTTCTTTCTTTTTTACTTTCTTTGCTAGTTAAATTATTGACGTAAATTCAGCAGTGATTATACATGTCGTCCACAAACTCTATTGACATACCTAAATTTATTTGATATGCCACAAGATTGAGTTAGTTGTATCACTCAATAAATTTAATTGAACATTATATACGCATTAACAGCAACAACTATTTCTTCCTTACTACTATGAATCATCTGTATTAATATTATATGACAAAGTTATCAACAAAGATTAATTAGAAAGAAAAAAAATTACCGAGAGCAATGCAGTGAGCCATGCATGATGATTGTGAGAGTAAGAAAAAAGCAACACTATTTGAGCTCATGATCTTATGAAACTCCAACCCATGCCTCAATTAAAATTCTTAGTCAACATCTTAGTATTATCTGCAGTTGTTGCAAAAACAAACGCCACGTTCTGTAAAGGAAAAAAATAAGCATAAACGGATAAATAAAGAAAATAATTAGAAACTTTATATCCCTCTACAATATACTCAGATTTCATTTTAAAAATTATTTTGTCCAATTAATAGGAAAAAGCAGTTGAAAAAACTAACCTGAAAATTTTGTCACAACAAGCGAAAATATTTAACAAATAAATGATCTTACCATTTATCGGACTCGATCTCAATGGATGAGATCTCCTGAGATTAAACGAAAGAAAAGGCGGCTCTGATACATCCGCAAGCTGCAACATACACTCAAGCTCTATCAAAGGAGTAGAAAGATGGTAGAGCAGTAGGTGGCTTTGGGTTGCCTTTGAATTTACACATAAGATTTCATTAGGAAGCACAATAAGCAACATCAAGGGAAAATAAGCGATTCAAACAAGCAAAAGCGAGAAAAGATTAAAGAAAAAATTAAGGGAAAGCTTACCAGAAATTAAGAGATCCAGCTAGAAGATGAAATTAACTGAGAGAGAAGTAGTAGTTTGAAGTGTGAAGGTGGAGAAAATTAAGTTTATGAAATCAGATGAGTGTTCTAGAATCGAATTATATCACAGTGTTTTGGGTAGAAAGCAAACCCCTCTTGGAGCTGTGACGGCACTTGAATGTATAGAAAATAAAATAAAATGGCAGAGTAAAATGGCAATTCTGCCCTTGGTCGACCATTCTTGCCTCTTCTATATATACTAGATGATGTTTGCCCGTACATAGCACGGGCCCAACATTTCAAATTCTGATATAGTTTAGAGAATCTATTTAATCTTTAGTTGTATCTGCAATTTAAACACTAAATGGGATTATAAGTTTGAACAACCATATTTTCACTAGCACGAAAGCACATTTTCATCCTACGCATTAAAGACCACCTACTACTCAGAGCATATTTAGAATCTGTGCATCCAGGAACGATATATCTCACTCCCTCAACGAAATTAAATTCATGAAGATAAACCATACAAAACAACAGACCAAAGGCACTACTTGTTCATGATTTGATTTCTAAAACATCTTCTGTTAGTAACTACCCCCTCCGTTTCATATTATTTGAGGTAGTTTGACTCGGCACGGAGTTTAAGAAAAAAGAAGACAACTTTTGAAACTTGTGGTCTTAAAAGCTTAACGGGTAAAAGGTTCGTGGGGCCATGCCATTTGTGTGGCTATAAAAGCTTCTCATTAAGGGCTAAAAGGGTAAAATGAAGAGTTTAAAGTTGAATTATTTCCAAATTTAGAAATGTGTCATTTGTTTTGGAATAGAGTAAAAAGGAAAGTACCTTATTTAATATGAAACGGAGGGAGTACTATAATTGCATGACTGAGTTACCACAGATAAGACAAGATAAATGAGTGATTCAACTCCTTCATCCATCCTTGTCCAAATTATATACTTTGATTGTTACTTAGTCTTAATAAGTGTCTTTACTTGCTTGAACAGGTAGAGCAGGGTAAGAATGTTGTAACTTAAGGAAATCTATGATTTGTAGTATGATAAAAACACCAGAAACCTCCTGCAAAAGTAAGTAACTTTTTCATCAACCATTTAATTTAAATTCAATTATCATAAGAAAGACTAACAAAGAATCAAAAATAAATAAAGCCAGCATACATTATAAAGTAACTCTTTCTGCAGGCATGTTAGAACCAACTGAAGCATGTGTAACTACTAACATAAAGACAATGAAATAGATAAACTAAATACACATAATAAGCAATGCAACACTTGTTGTTTCATGGAAGTACTTGAAGTGATTTAGGCCTTACTATCATAATGATAAACATAAATATATAGGGAACAATATGCTGAGAAATTGAACAAAAAGAGGTACCGAGTTGAATCGTTCATAACCATTACCATTTGAAGTGATGGAGGAAGAGCTCTAAATCTTCTTTGCTAGAAGAGGAAGCCTTTTTCACTGAAGTTGGTTCATGGCTCATGAAATCCTTAATAGTTTCTCGAAGTCCATATATAATTTAATTTGCTAGTTCGATATAGATCACTAAGAATACATCTTCTAGCAAGGTGCATATCCTAAAAGTTTATGAGCAATGAATACTTATCATAGTCCAAGACCAGGCAATTGTAATATACACATACATGAACTTGTGCAAAAGTGCTTTTTTCTATTAAAGAGGTCCATTCAGGAGGTTGGTACTATTTTTCACATATAGTCAGAAGATCCACCAAAATATGGATGTGTATTTGAAAGGAATTTTTTTACAATTTTTATGTTTACTTGCTATTGTCAACATGATCTGAATATACATGGTACATACACACCGTTGATAAAACTTTGTAAAGTTCAGAACTTTACTTTTTTCGTCAAGCTATTGTAGACCCTCTAGCTTCTTAGCGAGAACGTGAAAGTAAGATTCTATTATTTTTTAAAATTATTCACTCAAGGATTAAATATCGTTATACTTTGTCTTCAATTCCAAATAGGAAATGAATAATGAATTAACAATAAAAATATTTTACTTTATCTTGACTATAAAAAGTCACTTTATGAAGAGATAATCGCTTACCTTTTGATACAAGTTGTCCAATCCTGTTATGCAAATGATCAAATATTTATAATTTAGTTAAAGCGTCGGATCACATGAACTATCTTAGCTTGCACTTATTCTCTTCAAGTCAACCACTGTTAAATTTAAAAAAAAATTAACCTTAACAATGTTAGTAATTAAAGGTCCGAAGTATGATAAATACTAAATTGGGGGGAAGGGGAAGAAGATATGGGAATAAATAAAAAGGAACACCGACACTTTCTTGTTGCTTTTAGAACCAAGTATATAATATAAAAGAAAATGAAGTTTTGTAGTTATAGAAGAAATACTCATTGTTGGCAAATTAATAAATTTATTACAGCAATATTTATATCCCATTATGAAAAAGCATATAGATTAAAGACCCATTGGAGAAGTTCAATATGGAATCCTTAAATTTTCATGTTCTCAAGCTTTTAGTCCTTTAATTTGTGCACATAGTCCTTTAGATATGACCTTATTTCCTAGATTTTAGATATAAAAATTTCCAAACTAGCAAGATTGTTTCTCAAAGTATATAGAGGAAATTTCTATTCAACTATTTTAGTATAGGATGGATCAACCTGAAAGTTTTACACAGCCCCCAATTCTAAGAGTAACTCATAACTTTAATTATTGGTTCTACATTAGCTTTAAGTCAGTACTTTTAGGTTTGGTGTGTTTTCATAGTGCTGTTACTTTCTGCTATTTTTCATTATGCTAATATATTGCAACTTTTGATTGGATTAAGATTAAGTTTTTGGTAAAGACAAACTCCTATAAACAAACTTTAACAGTACGCAAAAGCATATTTTTTGTAGTGCCGGACCAAAAAATTAACATGCTAATAGAATATTATATATAAAATAAAATTGAAATCATAATGTGAAAGAAAAAAGTAATTTCTGTTACAATTTCGCAATACTTCTTTAAAATCTCAGTGCTCCTACTCATGAGAAAAACGAAAAATCTTTCCCACAAATATAAACGCAAAACAAAAACCTAAAAGAATATATATGCTAGGCTCGAGAATTACTCAAAAAGACAATATTAAAAAAACAACAATGAAGCAAAAGAGAGTAGAGGCAAAAACCTAAAAGTAGAAAAATCAAAGTCAACAGAAAGAAATTTGAGCAAAAATTGAAAGAAAAACATACCTGGATGAATGATGAAGAGAAACGTGCTGGTGCGTCTGTTTTTCTTTCTTTTCTTCACCGGTTAGAGATGAAAAAACAAAATCGGATCCTTCTAGAGTTTCTTTTTAACCATTGATGACACATTTACTATTTTGCCCCTAAATGAAGCTAGATTTACAAAGAAGCCATTGGTCGGCCATCTTCTCTCTGTTATATAATAGAAACTAGTGTGAAATGGCCCGTGCTAAGCCCGGGCCCAAACCTAATAAATTAGTAATTTATATTATTTTATGGAACGAATAGATAAACTTTTCATAGTGTACTCTGATTAGTGTGTGAAGTTGGAATGACATGCATGAGTAATGAGTAATGAGTAATGAGTAATGAGTTACAGGTACTCATTCTGATGATCATGCTATGCACAAGCCCAAGCTCCGAGAATCAAAAACATAGTTTGATATCTAATTATGTCGTTGATAGACATATATGCTTGTGGAAATAACATTTGACTATGTTGTAACTGACTTATATATGGCAAAAAAAGGTCGAAAGAGGAAGTACTGGATCATTTGGAGAAAATCTATCGAATATATTAGAATTAGCTGTTTTCCAGCTGATAATTTTCTGAAATGATCAACAAACCTTATGAACTAATATTATACAGGAATCATGCTTAGCTACATAGGCCTTGGACAATAGAAAATGAGGAGTTTTCATCTCCCACTCACTAACGAAATTTTCTTGACTAACATATATCAGACGATAACCGTTAACGCTTACACTAAATAATACATCGATGCATACATTTCAAACTTCTTTGCATATCTCTCTACTCCTGACACCTCTAAGATCTACACCCCCTTGTATCAGTGGTGTAATTTACCTAGGCCTAAGTATAAACAAAAATCTTAGTATTTCTACTGCCACAATTCCAGCAAAGCATATTTAAGCTTCACAAACAAGTTTGTCCATGTCTTGCACCATCCAGAAGTCCTTACATTATGTGCTAAGATGAACTGACAAAGCATAATTGAGAGGGGAAGGGAAGACCAAAGTAAAAGTTGTCATCTTCAATTTCCTATTTTTCGGAGCAACATGAAGCAAACTCATAGTGACAGTAAAAAGCTCAACAGAAAAAGATAATCAACCACCGTAATAGGACATCTTCTTCCTCCCTCTTGTCACGAAATAAAAGGGCAAATGAAAAAGAGACCTAACAGAAAATATTTGGTGCTCTAAAAGATCCAATTATGTATCTACAATTTTGGGGAACTAATCTAGAGTTACAGACTACAATAGAACCTATCAGCGGGACCAATTAACAGTAAGGATTATTGTGTTCAAGCAAGTCATAAGAACCTTTGGCAGCAACCTAATTAACACAATGATGTGCCTACTATAGTCTATCTACTTTTGAGTTTGTAACCAAATAGAGGCGATTCATGGATAGTTCTCTCCACTGTCGGTCTAAATTAATACACTGTTCTTGAATTCAATAATGAGCCAAGAAGAATTCATCCTAGGCCTGAGCTTCATAGCCTATCTTCATCAAGCACACCTAGTCTATATTGCTTTATTGTTTTCTAAAAACCTTACTTGATCACTCAATTTTTTTATTTTTTAATTACCGGTGCTCATCTTGAAGATTTAAATGAATGATCTTTACATGAAATAAAAAATTTGTCACTTTTTCCAGCCAATTGTTCATAAACGAGCAAAATAAATACTCTAATAGATAGTCGAACATACTGTTAACATTTGGGAAACAACATTCTAACAAGCGTATAAAAACTTTAACAACTTCTAAAAGCACTTCTGCATTAAATTTTGTCATCTAATAGAAGTATAAAACACAATTGACGCTTTTCCAATATAGCATGCAACATATACATCAGAACAGTCCTAGATTCTAATGTTTATTGAGTCAGTCACGCTGACTAAGAGCAAAAAAATTGAACTCCTGTTCCTGTAGCAAAGCTTTTGAGAAAACATAGACTAACTCAATAATTAGGAGCGAACGAATTTAGAACTAACAGTGTATGCCCCACAAGTATTTCATGTACCATTTAACCCTTTAATCTCAATATTTAACGCTACTAATTATCAAGAACTTAATCATGAAAACACCTATAACTTTATCGTGTGTTCAGAAAGTGCATACACCATCAATCAGAACTCTCCAACCTCCTAGCTAGTATTGGTCGCTTCTCAATATTCAAAAAAACCCTCATTATTCTTTGCATCTACTCCTTTAGTTATAGTTCCTTAAACAAATTGCACCTTCTTATCATCTGGATCACATATCTGATGAAGCCAACATGGCAACATATCAGTAATTGTTATTCACAGTTGATGAATCTGAAACTAAGATATTGAACGAAATTACCACTATATATCTTCAAGATTATATTTCTTGAATGGAGAGGGTCTTTTAGAAGTGAAAATAC